TGGTGGCTTAGCCAGGACCCCAGCAAGCAAACATTAGGATGTTACCAGCACCTCATTAGGCTCCAGCACTAATGATTTATTTCTCCAAGGAGAAGGAAAGTGCGGCCCTGGTGCTCAGGGATTTGGTCCCTAGATCAGCTGGTTACTTTCCTTGTGACCTCAGGCAACTCGTTGCATCTCCACCCAAAGCAAGTTTCTGATAAAGCTCGCAAGATGGGACCCAGCCATCCCACCCAGCCTCCTGAGCCTTCAGGACCACAAACGTTTTCACCCTTCTGCTCACGGGCTAGTGCAACACACCAGTGACTGCTTCATCTCTAAATTATGCTTCCTTAAACTGAACTGATGGACGTTTATATTAATGTATTCAGTAGCCAATTCCTACGAAATTTGGGTTGAACCAAAGTATGTATATTTTTCATTGAGACCAGAAGAGTTATTCAAAGATATAGTCAGGGCTTTTTATACTGTATTTGGTGGAATAATAATTATAGAAATAAGAAATTTAAGTTCTTGAGTGTGAGACTAGTTCAAGTGACAGCCATATTCAGTGCTGTATTATCTTGCAGTGAGAGGACACAGAATTTATTTTGAATATTATTTTAAAAATTATGATTTAATACATTTTTACAAACCTATGGAGGAAGAGGTAAACGCTCTCTTTTCCTTAACCACTTCCTCCTGACTCCTCCCTCCCCCCCCACCTCTCTCTCTCTCACACACACATACATACATGCATAAAATGAATGGAATAGATTTGTAAGGAAACTGGATCGTATCACGCTGGTAACATTCAGCTCCGGCTTTCAGTCTTTGGTCCATTTGAGAAGGCAGAGGATCCTGATTTATCCTTCACTCCTCCACCACCACCCCATCTCTCTGCCTAAACAAAATCAGAATTCCCAGTAGCAGCTGACAAGCTAAGTCAGACTATCCCGTCACACAGTCACATCTCTCCAAGGCCCCCCACCTCAATGGTCAGTTTTTGACACCTTGCACCTGGCAATACCAGGCTGCAGCACATCTCAGCATTCCAGCTCTGGAAGCTCACCAACCTCTGCTCTTGGCCTTCACAGAAAGCCAGGGCTGTATATGTGTGGGACTCCATCTACATGCCCAGGTATGTGTAATTACCCAACCGTGTGTGTTGTTTCACCAGCAGTAAAAAAAAAAAAAAAAAAAAATCCAGCAGGGAAATGAATGCTTGAATTCGTTTGTTTGTCCTTTGACAAGATCTCCCCAGTCGAAAAATTTTTGTTTATCTCTATGGCTGAGTGGGCTTTGCTAAAATCGAAATTAACTGCCTTGCTTAATGGTGCAGCAGATTGTGTTTTGAACAGCTTCCACGGAAATCTCCTTGAAAGGACATTTGATCTAGAAAGTCTAGCCTCTGGCAGAGTTACTGCGTTTTGGTGTAGGTCCTTTTTTTCCTCCTTATGCTAATTGTAGGATCCACACATGAAGCTCGCCACTGGATCCTGCGTGGCTGTATCTATTGGGTGAGTGGGTGGATGGATGGACAGACAGACAGATGGGTTGACTGGCAGGTGCTCAGTCATGTCTGAACCTTTGTGGCACCATGGACTTGAGCCCATCAGACTCTTCTATCCATGGGATTTTCCAGGCAAGAAAACTGGAGTGGTTGCCACTTTCTCCTCCAGGGGATCTTCCTGACCCAGGGATCTTCCCGACCCAGGGATCGAACCCACACCTCCTACATTGGCAGGCAGATTCTTTACCACTAGTGCTACATGGGAAGCCCCTGACTAGCAGGTAGACAGTTTAATTGCCATGTGACTTAGATGTCAAATTTTCTGACGTTTCAGAGGAAGAAAAACCTGTAACTGGTTTCCTCCCAAAATGTTCTTGCTAAACTTCACCCTATGACCGTGTCTTTGGATTTCATTCAACAAAAACAATACTTGTTAAGCACTTAGGATGTGTTAGGATGTGGAATATAGATTTGAACAAAATAAAATAGTCCCTTCTCAAAGAGTTTGCTATCTAGTGTGGGGAACCAAGAATCAAAAAGTCATACGCGGGGTTTTCCTGGTGGCTCAGTGGGAAAGAATCCGCCTGCCAATGCAGGAGATACATGTTCAATCTCTGACCCTGGGAGATCTCACATTCTGTGGAGCAACTAAGCCCTTATACCACAACTACTGAAGCCTGAGTCCCAGAGCCTGTGCTCTGCAACGAGAGAAGCCACTGCAATAAGAAGCCTTCACGCCACAGCTAGAGAAAAACCCTTGCAGTAGCAAAGACCCAGCACAGCCAACAATAAATGAATAAAAAATTTTTAAGTCATTACTGCTGCTGCTAAGTCACTTCAGTCATGTCCGACTCTGTGCAAACCCACAGACGGCAGCCCACCAGGCTCCCTGGTCCCTGGGATTCTCCAGGCAAGAACACTGGAGTGGGTTGCCATTTCCTTGTCCATTGCATGAAAGTGAAAAGTGAAGGTGAAGTCGCTTAGTCGTGTCCGACTCTTAGCGACCCCATGGACTGCAGCCACCAGGCTCCTCCATCCATGGGATTTTCCAGGCAAGAGTACTGGAGTGGAATGCCATTGCTCTCTCCATTACACAAATAATTATTTAACTATAGCTATGATGGCTGAACTCCAGTATTTTGGCCACCTCATGCGAAGAGTTGACTCATTGGAAAAGACCCTGATGCTGGGAGGGATTGGGGGCAGGAGGAGAAGGGGACGACGGAGGATGAGATGGCTGGATGGCATCACTGACTCGATGATCATGAGTATGAGTAAACTCCGGGAGTTGGTGATGGACAGGGAGGCCTGGCGTGCGCGATTCATGAGGTCGCAAAGAGTCGGACACGACTGAGCGACTGAACTGAACTGAACTGAATGATGGCTGGAATTTTTTGGTTTTTCTTTTTTCTTCTTTATTGAGGCCTAAGTCAAATACCATAAAATTCTTTTTATTTTTTTTAATTTTTAACATTTTTATTTATTTATTCTTGGCTGCACTGGGTCTTTGCTGCTGCGCATGGGTTTTCTCTAGTTGCGGAGAGGGAGAACGGCTCTCTATTTGTGGTGTGCAGGCTGCTATTTATTGTGGTGGGTTCTTTTGTCACAGAGCTTGGGCTGTAGAGTGCAGGCTCAGTAGTTGTGCCTCAGCATAGGAGATCTTCCCAGAGCAGGGGTCAAACCCGGCTCCCCTGCATTGGCAAGTGGATTCTTACCCACTAGACCACCACAAGTCCCTAAATTTCATCATTTTAAAGTGTACAATTAAACCACAAGCAATTGGTTTGACTGTCTTCAACAGATATTCCATTATGTTGGCTTTGTGATCATTAATGTCACAAATAGGGGGTGAAAGGGGCCACCAGAGAAGTCAGCTCAGATGTGGTATCCTGGAAGCTGCCCTGAGGGAGAGTTCTTCCGACCCAAAGCAGAAGCTCCTCACCCAAGACAGCTCCCGTGAGAACTTTCTTCTGTGACCCTACTGGTTCCGGAAAACTTCCACAGCATCCTATAAGTCCATTTTTCTAAGAATAGATTCCAAGAAGTTCCTAAGCTAGACATAGAAGAATCTCAAGTATTGAGAACCCTCAGGATCTACCCCATATATTCTAAAGCCAAGATACCAAAGGCAGTGAAACATTCCATGATGTACTAATAGCTCAGCTGACTGTTGCAGCAAAATAATTACTCATTCATTGGTCTTCTCATGCCCTGTCACTGGACTTGAAAAGTAACGCATTTTCAGATGCGTTGCAAGTCTGATGGGGCCCATGGGGGAATTAAAGGGCTCTGAGTTTGATTTCTGGCTCTGCTAAAGCTCTGCTTTGCATTCTCCTCTGGAGACGGGGATGACGGCACAAGCAGTCTCCTCTAAGCGGTGTCTTGGAATAACCAGAGTGGGTGAAGTAAAGCTGCTTTGGACCTAAAGTACTTCATCGTGCATGCATGCATGCATGCTTAGCCTCTCAGTCATGTGCGGTAGCCCGCCAGGCTCCTCTGTCCCTGGGATTTCTCATTTCCTCCTGGGAGGAACGGGTTGCCATTTCCTCCTCCAGTGGGTCTTCCTGACCCAGGGATCGAACCCATGTCACTTTCATCTCCTGCACGCAGATTCTTTACCACTGACCCACCTGGGAAACCAAACTACTTGCTACTGGTAGCCAGTCTTTCAGGAGCTGATCTGATTGGTGGATAGTCAACTATCTATACAGAAAGTCTCAGGGGTCTTCCCTTCCTATGACAACACTGATTTCATAGGAAGATAGCTCTGTGGCATCAACTTGAAGTTTAGAGAAGTAACATTACTGTTATTCAGAGAGCTTGGGACACCCCCTAAGACATCAGTATCAAAGGTGAAATTTACCATTGCACATACTTTAAGATAATCACTATCTTTTTGTTTATGTGATCTTAAACAAATTATAGAGCACTTTGATACTCATTATCTCTCTAATTCCCATGCCCATCTGATGATGCAGGAAGAATGTGATATTCACAGAGTTTAGATGAAAAAATCCAGGACTTGCCCATGATGACAAAGCTGGCTCTTGTATCCTCCATTTTTTCTTACCATCCTTCTTAAAATCTTGCCTACTTTTTCCCCTGCACTGTTCTGTAATATTTTCCCCTACAATTTGCCAGTGACTTGTCAGTTCCCTTCACAGTACTTAGGTAAAACACCTGCTTGTATAATTGCTGACATTAAAAAGAATGTCATGAATGCATCTGACAGTTAATTTTTTCACTAGTTCCCTTCTGCTCCATAGATCCCTGTGAGTTTGGGTTAATTAATCTGAAGTTTTATTTTTGCTAGCAAGCTGGTGATCCTTTGGGTTGAATCAGCTGAGTTATCTCTAGGCTGTGATCAGTGACAGAACCTCCGGAAAGCCTTGGTCCCTTCCATCTTAGGGCACAGGATGGCCATGCAGGGCTTCTCGATATGAACGGCAAGATGGTCCATGACTTGTCCTTAACCAGATATTTGCATCATCCCTTTCTCCTTTCAAAGGTACATGACCGATGGTGGACTTGGCCTCTACACCCGCCGCCTGAACCGGCTCCCTGATGGGATGGCTGTGGTGCGGGAGACTCTGCAAAGAAACACCTCCCTGGGCCTCGGAGACGCTGACAGGTAAGCCTGCTCCACTTGGGGTGGCCCAGATGTGGAGGTGACTCCAGTGGGGCCTGAGAAATGAGGGCAGTCCCAGTGAGAGCCAGTGTATGTTGCTTTAACCCACCAGAGGCTGGGAGGCCTTGAAGCCAGGCCTGAGGTTAGGAGCTGGTTCAGCAGGTGGAAGAGGGGCCTGACCAGCTCTTGCATTCTGTTTCTGGGTGGCGATTGGTGGTTCTCATAGCAAGAACCCAGGGAGTTCGGGCTGGGAAGGTTTTTGTTGTTGTTTTACTGTTGCTACTGCATCTTTATCAGTTCAGCAAGCCCTGGGGATCTGCTCTGCTTCCTCCATTAGCCAGCTTTCTAGGTATTGCATCTTGGAAGGAGCAGAGTCCCTGGTGACGCACAGAAGGTCTGTGCAGAAGAGAGCTCCCCTGGCCGTGGCTGAGCAGGCTTCCCCATAAGTCTCTGTTGCTGGTGACAAGAGACAGGGCTTAACCATGTAGTTTTTACACTGCATGCTGAGTATTTGTCATGATTGGGCTTGACCATTGCTTCGGAGACAAAGAAGAGCTCCAGAAAACTCTATAATAAAGAAGAATATTTGGCCTACAAGTTTCTAGTCTTTGACACAAGCCGATTCTGTGACCATGAACTATCTGTTAAGGAAGGGGTTTGGGCTGTATGGTTTCCAATATCCCTTCCAGCTCTGATGTGCTGTATTTCTGGATTTCAATACCCTTTAATGATCTGATTGTTGAAGAATTTTTTCTGGCATACTTGACCTCTTGCCACATCTGGGTTGATGAGACAAAACATGGAATTTCAATGTGAGCAGTTTGAAATCTCTCTGTTCTTTTTGGAGGCGAAGTCTCATGTGTCAGAAGGCCAAATATTTGTTGCACCAAACCAGCTTCTTGCATTTCTCTTAACAGGACATAGTTTCTAACAGAGAGTGAGATGACTTCTGTAGTTCCCTGGCTTCAGAGAAATAGGGCAGCATTATTAAAGAGACAGACCCTGAAGTTTCCCCCGGAAATGGAATTTGCTGAAAAGGAATCTTCACCTTCTCTTGGGAAAGGCTTGGAGGCTTGGGCTGGTGTGAAGAGTGCTGAATTAACTGTCAGGAACTTGGCACCTGCCCAATGCCTAGACTCAGCCACCAACTCAACTGTGTCCTTCTCAGAGTCCTCTCAGCCTCCAAGGTAGTGATTTATACCAGAGAGGACTAAAGACTTACCACTGAGGTGCCAATTCAAGTCAGCTTTTTTCCTGTGATTTTATTTAAAGTATTGGTTTAAAAATTCTTTAGTAAGACAAACCGTTTGAGAACTACTCTGAGGCTAAAACTCTCTATGACCAAAATCTTTAGAGTAAATATCAGCAAAAGAAAAATCAGTTGTTGTAACACCCCCATTGGCGCATTCACAGCTTATTAAATTATTTTATTTATTGGTATTCTCTTGTAAACATGGAATTGCTCAGTAAATCTATTAGCATAAAGTGATGGCCTTACAAGGTACATTTCCCCTTGTAGCAAAAGCAGTGTCTGCACTAGGCAGTTTAATTTAATGCTTCAGTGCAGGGTTAATGGAATGATTATAGATCACAGCTGAGCTTGCTTTTGCTTTTGGAGGTGGGAGATTTGGGTTTGGGCTGGAAAGATGGGTGGCATTTGTTTTGTTGTTCCAGCTCAGTCTCCACATTTAACAAAACAGACAACAGTGTCTTCTGGTTTTCCCCCAAACTGGAGTTGCTCAGGTGTGATAATTTAAGACTAAATGGATAATGAGCCAACCTTTAAAGAAAGAATTCAGGTGGCTTAAAAAAAAAGATTTAATAATGCTCATACATTTTCTATTTTATGTAAGTTTGGACCTGTAGGCAGTGAGATATTCTGTATTACTCTTTTTTTTTAATACTATGCTGTCATTTATTTATTATTTTTATTTATTTATTTTTGGCTGTGCTGGGTCTTCATTGCTGCACCCGGGTTTTCTCTAATTGCAATGAGTAGGGACTCTTCTGTAGTTGAGATGCGTGGGCTTCTCATTGCGGCGGCTTCCCTTATTGCAGAGCACGAGGCTCTAGAGCTCGTGGGCTTCAGTAGCGGTGGTGCACGGGCTTAGTTGGTCTGCAGCATGTGGGATCTTCCTGGACCAGAGATCGAGTCTGTGTCCCCTGCCTTGGCAGGCAGATTCTTAACCCCTGGACCACCAGGGAAGCTCCCATATTTGGATATGTTAAATTACTTTTTTCAAAGTTAGTGTAAACAGGCCATAATAATGCTTTATCTTTGGCTCAGTTGAAAGAGTAGTAGATTGGTTTCTTTCAAGTTCTTCATGTAAGCGTGCATACTAAGTTGCTTCAGTAATGTCCAACTCCTTGTGACTCTATGAACTATATAGCCTGCCAGGCTCCTCTATCCATGGGATTCTCCAGGCAAGATAGTGGAGTGGGTTGCCATGCTTTCCTCCAGGGGATCTTCCAACCCAGGGATCTAACCCGAGTCTCTTAGGTCTCTTACATTGGCAGATGGGTTCTTTACCATTAGCGTCACCTGGGAGGCCCTGTTCTTGTAAATCTTCCCAAAACTATGTTCAAAATGAGTGTTCCACAAAGTGCAAGGCTAACATTATTGGTACAGAAATAATTTTAGATGGTAGACAGGGAAATACTTCTTTTTAACAGTTATATTTTAATTAAAAAAAAATACTCTTGCATCTAGCATCTCTCAAACTCATGATTTTACACACACTTCTTAGGGTCAGGATAGTGTAGACTTGGAACAATTTAATGCGAAATATCGAGGAATAATATCACAGATGGTGTGCAGATATATTAAAAAATAAAAAGTACTATGTACATGGCTGCAGGCTAGGTAATCCTTTTCCTATCCCTGTAACTAGAAATAAGTTGTTTAAGTAATTTAGACAAGTGAAAAAAAAATGCAAAGAACCTTTCCAGAAGTCTTCCCTTCTAACCTGAAAAAAGAGCTAAAATACTTCCATGAACTTTTTTTTTTTTTTTTAATAAAAAGCTCAGTCCTTACGGATTCACACACAAGCAGTAAATTACATGAGTTCTACAAAAGAAATAGGAAACAAACTGAGAGATGATTTCTGATGAGACCTCAGCAAAGGGATGGCCAGCCCAAGGGCGGATCAGCTCACTGTGCAAGCAGGAAAACATCGCTGACCTTGGCCTTCATCCCTAGAGGACAGCGCTCCCAGGGGAGCACCCACCCACCCACTCCCCCGGCAGGCTGAGGCTGTTGGCGGCAGGATGTGGCTGGGCTATCTTCAGGGCTATTGAAAGTAACTGATAGGAATGTGCACCTTCGGAGCCTGGGAGACAGAGCCCATGTCTGCTGGTGAGTCTCGTGTGTCACCAGCTGGCTTCTGAGAAATAATAAATGACGATCGTGAATTCAGGATGCCAGGCCTGCCCTTGATCTCCTGTCACTCTTTAGGATTGCCACCCATGGGCTCTTGTTTTTACCTGATAGTCATCGGGGCGACTTTCAGCAAACTAGGGCCAGCCGGCTCTGAAGGAAGGATCAAAAGGGGCAAGCGGAGGTGGCTTATTACAAGCTCTTGGCCCCAGATGACAGACACGTAAAGAGACCTGTGACATGGAGTTCTAGCAGGCTGGGAGGAGGAAGGGATACAGCAAGCAAGGCCCAGGGGCTGAGCTCCAGCCGCTTGCAGGCACTGCTGTCTCCTGGGACCCCGTCGGAAGACTGAGTGCTTTCAAAGATTAAAGCTCAGCTCTGGGAAGGTTTCCACTCTCGGGTCCCTTTCTCTGTCCCTTGAAAGCACGCCGTGACCCTTTCCCGCACGCGTGGTGCTGTAGTGTGCAGTGGGTTGAGGCAGTTAGATGCTCCTCCCAAGGTCACATACCTGTCCTGAGAGCACGTGGAGGACAGAAGCCAGGCATGTGCATGTGGATCCCGAGCAAGACTTCTCAGTTACTTGATAACTTTCTTCTCAACTCTTAAAACACCAATTGCTTTTGTTAATTTGGTTTTGTCGCTAAGTCATGTCCGACTCTTGTGACCCCACGGACTGTAGCCTGCCAGGTTTGTCTGTCCATGGGATTTTCCAGGCAAGAATATTAGAGTGGGTTGTCATTTTCTTCTCCTGTGAATCTTCCTGACCCAGGAGTTGAACCCAGGTCTCCTGCATTGCAGGTGGATTCTTGACTGACTGAGCTACGATTTAGGTAGTAAGAAAAATAGAAAAAAAAACAAACTAATGCCACATGGTAAAACATCAGCCTGAGACTTGAACAAAAATGAAAATTGCCCTCTAACATCACCAAACATAAAGGAGAAACTTTTTTTTTTTTCCCCTTGTTAAATTACAAGATTTTCCTTGCCCTCCAAATTCTGTACAGTTTACTTAGGGAGATGGCTTTTCAGTTGGGCTTCAGTCATCGTACAACTTGACTGTCTGCATTTGGGACCCAGGCCTCAGTGCTCAGAGCTATCCCAGCTTCAGCTTGAACAGGGAGTCCTGCAGTGTGAGGATGTAACTATGCAACCTGGTATCTGACCAGCCTGCCAAGCCAGGCCTTCCTCCCTCACCGGGAGTGTTGCAAGATCTTCCAGCTCAGGACACTGCTTCGCTTTGTGATTTATGTGGGACAGTTTGGCCTTCTGGCACCCAGCAATGCATTCACAGATTCAGGCCCGACTTAGAGGAGCTGAATCCGGGACAGAGCTCCCCAACCAGCAGCTGGAATTGGTAGGCGCCCTCATCATGTGAGGTGAGCTCTTTCTTAGGCATCGCCCCTGCTGGGATGTGCAGACTGGAGGGAACACAGGGAGGAATTTCTCCCATTGTCTTCCCTTTCAAGTCTGGGATAGGGAGAAAAACAGCCCCCTCAGAGACATCCATGACCTAATCCCAGCACTTGTGAATATTTTATGACTTGTGGCCAAGGGAATAAGTTTGCTTCGTGCATGCTCAGTCATGTCCGACTCTGTCTGAGCCCATGGACTGTAGCCCGCCAGGCTC